ATTTTTATATTTCAGGATATGGCAAATCTTGTATGCTGCTCACCCCGCATTAACGCTTCCGAGCTCGACATACTGCTTAAAGACAAAAAGGATGCATTAATTTTGGACGCAGCCTGCGGAACTGGTTTGGCGGGCTTAGAAGTGAGTGCACGTCTTAACTAACTGATTTTTCAATTTTTTACATCTAAAGTAAAAGTGCATCTTTGGCGTAGTATACACTACCAACAAAACGAGACGAGACAAAGACTGGCCATTCTCCAACCCTCTGCGCTGTATATAAAACTACCTAAACTACCTTCATCCGTTGTTTTAGACATATTCATCCCCCCCACCCGACAGAAAAATAAGCAAGTAAAATAAGCAAATGGAGAAATGAAGCACAGTGGATTTACAGCCTTGGCAATACAAAAGGGTCACAGTTTTACGTGCTACGAGGCAGATACACGGTACGTTACTTGTGGCATGCTGTGTTTTAAATTCATGAGGTTATCTTTGTCTTCCATAGACTTGGTGACGACAGTTAAACGAATAACAATAGGGATAATACATGTATCTTTGTAAATTACTTCGTTTTTATTTTTATTTTATTTTCTTTCTTTCTTTCTTATTATTATTTTGAAAAGGCTAAGGACTCTATCCCAGTGAAACTATCGTTCCACGAAGATCAATCCAACTCCGCGGGGACTCTTGCTAAATGCAATCAGATTAACTCGCTTAACACGTACGCCTCCACTTCTTTCCAACGTACACGTACAATCAGCAACTTTCTGTATTCCATCAATATGGCATGTAACTTAAGGTACTTGGGTAAAGCCATCTTGCTTTGCGAGGGGGCGTGCCAGACAATTACATTGACTGCGCCTTGGCGAAAATCCGACCTGAGATAGATTGATCCTGCTAGCACAGTAACTTCTTATCTGTTTCTGTTTTGCTTCTTCTAGCTTTTCAGACGTGGTTACCACAACCTCCACGGCCTGGACGGATCAAGCGAAATGCTTGAGCAGGCAAAACAGAAAGGCATCTATAAGAAAACGATGTGTTCTATAATTGGTTCTCATAGATTGGACATTTCGGATGGTACGTTGCACTACGGTACACAGGGCACGCCTAAAGTTCCATGTGTTCAATAATGCATTTTGATATCTTACCAAATAATCGGATTATTTTATTTTTTTTATAAATTATACAGTTTATATTTTAGTTTTCTGCACTTTGCGTCACAAATATCAAAATGGGAATTCTAATACAGCAGTCCAATACACAGATCTAGAACAGGGATACGTTTTGGAGTACTTGAATAAATTTAACGCAAACAATTTAACTTTTGACCCAGTTTGATGAATGAAAATTGACAAATTATTTGTACTGGACATTGTAGGCCTTTTAATTGATGCATGAACTTAAAGGACAACAAGAGATTTAGAAAATGCCCAGATGAACCCATGCAGCATAAGTTGCCGTTTGCACCGTGTCCCTTTTTTTGCATGTTAATCGCGTCTTGCGACGCTAAATCCCTTTTAAAGTCAAACTGGTGCTTTCTGAAAGGGACGCGGTGCAAATGCTTAGATTTAGAGTGGACTTTTTAGTACATACTGCAATTAGAGATCTACAGGGCCTCACACAGCTAGGAAAACACGTTTATCTTTTGTCGAGTCACTGGCCGTTTCAACTCTGCCCCTGTTACACGTGCATACAACTAATGGCACTGACAAACATAAAAAATGTATGCATAATATAAGTGATAGCCTTATTATCTTATATTTTAAGTTTTGGACTGAGACATTATATTATGAAATTGGATTTGGACTGGACCAGTGATTACAAATCTCTTTTATTTATTTATTTTTTTTTTCATTTTTCTATCTCAGACACATATGACGCGGTCATTATGTCTGGAGCTGTAGGATGCGGACACGTGCACGGAGGTGGGTTGGCAGAACTGATACGAATTGTTAAACCAGGTAAGACAAAAGTAGTGCTCATAAATTTTAAACAAATGATTCCTTTCTCAATCTTAAGACTTCATGCTAAAGGTTCAGGCAGTAAATGAACGTACTTTCCCACTGAGGTTAGAAAAATTGGCGACAAAGGGTTTTCAACTAATACAGGTCGATTGAAAATTCAATAAGCACGCAAACTTTCCCCCATAACACCGCTTGGGCAGCGTTTCGTTTTTGTTTTAAGTTCAAGATCGACCGCCGCTGAATTGGGTGGTTTATCCTATAGGCCATATCTTGTTTACCCATCGGAACATGTTTAAAGATACATACAAAGTCAATTTTTTGTCATAAAAACCAACCAAATGCCAGCATATAGTTTCAAGTAGTATAACTAAGAGAATTACAAAAAGGCATTGTTTAATTTTACCCGAAAGTGATGTTTGAACAGATTTTTCTGCTAGCATTCTATGCTGTATGTCAAGGGGCAGAAAAGTAGGTCACGAAAGTAGGTTAAATTGACAACCAAAAAATTAAAGAAAGGAGCACTCTAAATCTCTTTTATGGTTGATCGGGTGGTTTATTCAGTTTATCCCTTGGCATGTCGAATTTATTAGAGTCGTAGAAGAAACTAGTAGAAGTGGTTTACATGTGTTACTGGGAATCCGCGCTCCACCGACGCTTGGTTCGTATGTATCTTTAAGTTAACTATCTCACTAAGAGACATACACCCAATCATTTGCGACTTTTTTTCAAAGTCACCAGAGGTCAAGGCTATGACTTAATTAAAAGGTCATGGCACTTTTGCTTCAGAATGCCAAAGTGTATACTGACAGTCAATGAAAACGCATCATTCATTTATCAAATATATTAAAAGTTCCTTTGGCACATTCAGAAAATAACAGAAAATAATGACCCATTATTCTGTCACACAAGGTGAAATAAAGGTCAGAAAAGATCATTTAAATGCAAGGTCACGTGATAAAATCTCTTTGGTTCCGTCCAGCCCCCAACATCCCCAGGGCCCAGTCGCTCTTCCAGCGTCAGACGTGGCACCACTGAACTTTTTTGTCATGTGTCATACTGGATCTGGTGACTACCTTAAAAAGGCTTTTAATTAAAATTAATCACCATATATTGAACCTGATTAATTCATACCAATCACGAGACAGGAAAAACACATGATTTTGTAACAGCTGATCACAAAATCACTGGAGCAAAATGGTGAACTATTTTTTGTAGGTACGGGGGTGCTGACTGGAAAAAAAATTGCATGCATAAAAGATATAATTTTGAATAAAATGAGTGCTTTAACAGGGAGCCAGTGCAACTGCATTAAAATGGGTGTGATATGAGTCTCGCTGGCTGGTTAAAAGACAGCCTGAAAAATTCCGAATGTATTCGTTCGTCGGTACAGCCATAGAGTAAAGAGTTGCAGTGGTATAAACGAGAGGTGATCATCGCATGAATCACTGTTGCCGCAGAAGATTGATCCAGGTACTTTCAAACAGCACCGATGTTTCTAATGTTAAAAATACGTGATTGTGTGATGTTTGATATTTTTCAATCCATGGAGAGAGTGGTGTCAAAGTAGACACCCAGGTTTTTCACGTGTGGTAATGGATTCACAACACTGGTGCCTACTGGTAATTCAAGTTGTAGATTCTGTGCAAATTGCTTGTTATGCGTACGATGTGGGTACTGTCCGACTGGTCTAAAATCTAGTTTTTTCATGTAATGCATTCATCAATTTTCAATAGTAGTTCCATATCCCCACTTTACTTGCCAGATAATTGATTCACGATTTAATTTTGACCAAAGACCTTGCCCAAATACTACAACTATGGCCCCTTGTTCAAATTTGTATCCTACATTTCAGGGGGTTTTGTCGTCATGGACGTACTTTTTGCATACCTTCATGGAACCGAGTACGGTGGGAAAAGCTGGGACGAAATAATTGACAGTCACATCATGGCCGGACGCTGGGCCACGGTGACCAGACGCTTGGTGGAGCAAGTCTTTAACACTCTGGATGGGATGCAGTACTGCTTCCAGGTGAACTGAATTAAGGTTACACGGCACTTCCGACCTTCCTTGTTTAGGCCTACTAAGTTTGAAGCAAGAAGACTTGCATATAAGAGAAAAATGAAATTATTTTTCAATTTTGGATCATTTGAAAAATTTAAAATAAATTTAAGAAATAAATTTGTTCATTTACCTTTAATTCGATGTGTTATTTTTCATATCAGGGTGAAATTTTACTGCCTGGGGCCAGTTTTACATGCCCTCCCCCCTGCTGCATTTTAGTGCTTATTTTGGCCGACTGGCGGCAGCACCTTACGGGTCATGTCATGTCACTGGCAGACTATCCCATTAATGTACCCTGATTTTTTTATATCATGTTTAGGCCTTAAGTAGAAGTATTTAAATCTGAAGTGTTGTGTTTGTTGAAGCATGGAAAGTATATTTAAGAGAATTAAACGTTACAATGGAAGTGAATGGGATTTTTAATAGTGGTTTGTAACCTAGAAGTTGTGCCGGAAATGGAATCGTTTTCCCGAATGGCATGTGTGCTAAGCGACAGAGGAACCCGATATCTGCATTCAAACTAAATAACCTTGCCTTAATAAATATTTCCTGTATCTAAACACTTTTAAAATAAGTGCTGAGTTAGATATCCGAAAAAATTGTTAAAATGCAAATTAAAAGTATGATAACTATTAAAGGGATAATAACTCTTCGTTCTGCCCAAAAAATAAATTCTCCTGGAGTAAACAACAATTTTCCCATACCAATGGTTAATGAATCCATTTTTAACATTCAAAGTAAGTCCCCGTTTTTTTTTTTTTTTTTTTTTTTTTTTTTTAATAGAATCTCTTAAGTATAGCCGTCAATGGAGGTCACGTGGTCTAAAGACAAGCTCAGACAGAATAATAGCTATAACCGTTTTTGTGGTAAAACAGAGTTCATTATATTTCTATGAGTTGTTCACAATGTTTTTACTGTGAAATATAGATCTCATACGAAGAATTATTATCCCTTTTTATTTCACCTACTGATTAAAAATGTCACGTCCTCTTCATCTCCAATTTTCTTTGCAGGGAAGTGCTGCTTCTCATATTGGCACATTCGGTCATAATTTTCGAGCAATGTTAAAAGACATTCTTGATTCAGACACTTTGGATCAACAAATCATTAAAATTTGGAAAGCAGATGCAGAAAAGTACCATGTACACTGACTTCAAAACTTTTCTGTACACCTAAATCAGAAGTGCAGGCACTGTTGAAGGGTTTTTTTTTTACCTATTTAATGTTATTCATACAAAGTGACATATAAAATGCACAGAGAAACATGTACTGTTATCCTGAAGCATATGACAAGATTTCACAAAGACAACAGCTAGGACACTACTACCATTACTTTCCATGATTACATCTCAACTACTGTTATTCATAAAGAATATATGTTAGACAATTTACATAGCCATGAATAAAAAAGCACAAAAATACACATATCCAAATTGTGTTATTTATATTCACAAGTAGCATCAACACACAACATGCCAAATCTGCACAATGCAATGTGTAACATAAACAAATTACTTATATCTAACATGCTCATTGACACTAATTTATCGTACAACCTTTTGCAAATCTGGTACCAAAATTTTAATATCCCATTTATACACACATATATCTAAATAGAAGTATATGTTATTAAATCCACAATGCGGTACCAACATTCTGTACCACATTCTAAAATGTCTTGATTCTATTTACAGATATTACATTTATTATGACCTCCATATCAAACCAATGCTTTATGCCATAAATTCCATGTTACTATAAAAGTTAACTGGGTTTTGTGACTGGAGGTGTAGAGGTCTGTATTTTTCCTGAAGTCTGAATGACACTTGCTGTCTGGGTAGGTGTGGCCTGACTCTGAGTGACAGCTGTCAATCTCACACCTGGGGGAGGAGTTATTATTCTTGCATAAACTGGAGCACTACCTAAAACATGAAGGATGGGTGAATCATTTGTTGTTGAAGTCAATAAAAAATATCATGATATAAATTAACAATAGTTAATGGTTTATCAAAAATCAGAGTGATAAGTGTGAAGTCATCGCAAAAAGGAAAATGTTCTTTTTCAATGTTAAAAGTTACAAGACTAAAAGTGGTGATATCATATTAAAGAAGCAACTTTAATCAGTACCTGGTTTTGAAACTTTAACACTGGCTGTTGTTGTTTTGGTCACTCCCCTTGTTTCTTCCTGGGTCCCTTCCTGGCTTGTGCTGCCACCTTGTGACTGTTGCAGTCCAGCTTGAGTGATGACAAATGTCGTCTGCCCAGGTTTTCCTCCAGCCTGAGTTAACACTGTCCTAAGGACCTGGATGTTCTGGGGCTTTCCACCTAATATAATAAATATAATTCAAACATATTATACTGTTAATACTTTAATATATTTATCAAAAGGTCTGCCTTTATTACCAACAGTCAGTGTCAGTTCTACCTTTTCTACAATGATCTACCAATGTCTACTTAACAAGCCTGAATGATACCAACCTTGAGATACAATCTGATGAGGGGATATGACCTTGGTCTGGCCTTGACCTGTTTGCATAATGAATTGAGTTGAATTGCCTCCTGACTGGCTGCTTGTTTGTTTGATTTGGGCAGCTGGAGTAAAAATAAAATGTAGTTCTCATATTCAATGTTCAAAGGGAACAATAAAGGTATGTTTAAAATTGAAATATTGATTACATACTTTTCTTTTTTCAATGAACATTGGGAGAACCACACAAATTCAATTCAGTTTGCCTCTGTCCTTTTGACACCTGTGTCAAAATTATAAGTGGGCTTCAAAATAATTTTGATTTATTTTAAATCACATTATCCTGCTACTCCACCTGGTTTTCCTCCCTGTCCCTGTGCCAGCTGTGTTAGTATCAGCCCCGCCTGCACTGGGGACATCACCACCTTAGGAGACCCTGTCCTGGGGCTGCCAGGGGTCACGGGCTGGTTCCTCTGGGTCTGAAGGATACTGGAGCCTATGGAGAAATAAATTAAACAAGATATACACTTTTAAAAGCTAGTCAATTGCAGGATAACATTATGGGGTTTACTAGTTGAAATGCTACTCCTCACATAAAATTCTACATTATTTCAGCTCCTTTTGGCAAAAGACAGGGGCTGCAGAGTGATCAAGAACATGGGTGATGGCCTTTAACTCTCATTTACAGATTTCAACAGTTCAAATATAATACAAAGTCATATTATGTATGTATTTCTTTAAGTAACTGCAACATACCAGATGTGGTTGTGAGTCGTGTCATGGCAGCTGGCTTGCCAGAAAATCCTTGCTTACTGGTGGTCAGATAAACTGGTTTTCCTAGGCAACAGAGAAATAAACTGGTTAACCTAGGTAACAGACATGAGGATTTTATGACAATGTGTCAGGTGTTGCTTATAAATGATTTCTATTGAATGGACCACACAATATAATAATTACTTAGTTTTATAAACACTAAACATTGTCTCCACAAGGTTTTTTCTCCTACCCTAGTCTGGCCTGTCACACACGGCACGCACTCACCTCCAATCTGTACAGGTTTTCCTCCCATCACCATCCTGGTCTGGCCTGTCACAGGCTGCTGTTTCTCTGGTGACTGAGTTGCTATGGCAACAGGCTTCCCACCTATCTGGGTTACCATGGTGAGGGGCTTGCCTCCCATCTGGCCTGGTTTGCCTAACAGAGGATATTCAATAATTTTCATTCTTTTATTTCTCAAAAACATAAAAATTCTAAAAATATTTTCACACTTACATAATATCAAATAAAGAGTTATTTTACAATCTTTAGGGAAAATATGAAAATGCAAAAAGCTAATCACCAACCTGCAGAGTAAACAATCTGTGTTGGTTTTCCCCCAGTGGTGTTCCTGGCCATGGAAGACATGAGCACTGTGGCAGGCTTCCCACCAGGCTGTAACAGAGTGGCCGGCTTACCACCAACATGAGTCAGTGTTATTGGCTTTCCACCACCTGCAGTGGCGCCCCCTGGCTTCCCTCCACTGATCACATGAGTGGGCTTGCCTGAGACCTGGTGGACAATGTTGGTACCTAGAAGAATGCAGGAATTTATATAGGAGTTTTTATGTATTAAAGGTTAATAAAATATTGGTTAAACGAAACATAGACAACCCATATTTAATCGAGAGATACTCTTTCTCTCTAAGAAATTTTACATTTTTGACTTTTAACAAAATAATTCTTTAAAAACTTCCTTTTCCCCACTGAGACATTACTTCAAGTCACATTTAATCACTACATCATTGTCATAAGAGACACTATTTGCTATAGCATACCTTGTATTTTGATAGTGGTAGCCCCCTGTCCCTGGGGGGCACTTTGCTGTTTCTGAACAGCTGCTAGGAGATTCCCAACTGACATCAGCTGAAAGAAACATCAAAGTTTAGTTTTGTAAGTTTATCTTTTTTCCTGCCAAGATTAAATGATACAAATGCTCCCCTGGCCTGCGAGATATAAACAGTTAAAACAACAAGAAATGTGAAAAGTTATACTTTTCCCTTCTCATAAAAATAATAATAATAATTATTATTATAATAGTAGATAAAGAGTAAATATTATCTAGACAGACTAAATTGTAAATATGTTTATGTATAAACCTAAATATTTTCTAGAGACAAGTTTAATTTAAAGTATACATCTAAATCTTTACTTGTGCTCCTTAGTTATAAAATAATACTTAACCTGTGTCCCTCTGATAATAATAATAATAATAATAATAATAATAATAATAACATAAGGCTTGATGTTTTTTAGAGACTAGATACAATAAAGTATCTCAGCCTGTACCTGTGTCCCCCTGGGTCCCTGTTGTACTATCCTGGCTATGAGAGGGCTGGAGGCACCAGAGGAGGTGGCAGGACTGGGCTTGGGGCTGGAGCTTGCCGGGGTGGAGGTGGGGGTACTGGGCTGGGAGGTCACCTGGAGGAGAAGAAAAACAATGGAGTGGTTATGTTCAGGACTGACAATGACTCCAAGTTGAAAAAAAAAAACAATATACAATAGTTTACCTCATAATGTGTGGACACTGAATGTATAGAGTGGAAACTCACTTATTTACTCAGTGCTGTAATTTTTGAACCAAAAATAAATTTTAAAAAATTATTTTCAAAAAATAAAATTATTTTAAAAATAAAAAACACACACATAGGCACAAACTTAAAAAAACTATTTAGAATTTAATTTAACATTACTTTTAATTATAACAAAAATTTCACACACAATAAAACAAAGTCCACCTACCCCTACAGTAGGGCTAGCAGACACTGCCCGTGGACTGGTCTGCAACTGTTGTTGTGGACTACCACCAGGGTGTGGCTGCGTCACCAAGACAGTCTTGCCTGCAGTCTGGGGGCTGCCCTGGCCAGGAAGCCCCTGACTCTGTACTATGCTATATGAGTACGGTTTATTTCCCACCACAGTCTGTCTGGGACTGGAAGTCATCCGCTGACCTCCAATCTGGTACAGGGACTGAGTGGGTGTCCCGGAAGAAGCGGGTGTCCCGGGCTGGCTCTGGGATATCATCCCCTGGGGAGCAAACCTCTGTCCTGGCTGGAGGAAGACTGTCTCCATGCCTCGCTGACTGGCCTGTGAAAGGATATGTAAGATAAATTCAGAATTCAAAGCTCTACATTTCAATTAAAATTTACTGATCTTAAAATTATGCAGCTTGTTCCACATCAGTAAAATATAATGATAATTAAAATCTCACATTTTTCACCATACAAACAACTTTTGATATACGAAAGGGACATTTGGTTGTAATGATCATTTTTCAACATTCAAGTTAACATGGCATTCAATGCTTACTGAGTAAACTGACATTAAATTAATCATATTATAAAATAAAACTATGGATCTTAGCTATACAGAAGGGTGGACGGGAATTATTTTATTCTTTTACAGCCTCTGAGATTTTTCTCCTATTCTTTTAACTCTTTCCCAGTCACCACCCCAACCCATCCCTCTCAGACACATCTCTTAATCTACACTACTAACCTGTGTAGTCTGTGGAGAGGGTGGGGTCATCCTCACCATCCCTGGGGTCAGTGTGACCACCCTGGGGCTATTGGCCTGGGAGGCAGGTACCTGTCCCTGGAACAGAGCCTCCACTGCTGCCGCATCCTCAGCTGCCTGGGTCTGGGGAGGGGGAATGGTGGTCACTGTGGTCGGCTCCTTGGCTCTCTGGAGAGTGATTTTTTTTTAAATACGTTAACTGGCTTTTACAGGCTCTTTGGCTCCATCAAAAATATTCAAAAAAATTAATAAAACATACTGGTGGCTGTTTCAGGGCCCTTGGCTCTCAAAATAGAGATTTTTATAAAAAACCAATAAACTAAGCAGTTAAGTGACTGTTACAGCCATTGGAATTAAGCCATATTCTATTGTGGAAAATGATGTATTTTTTCTTAATTATTTTGCTTAAAAAATAAAAGGTCTACAGGTCATAGGTCAACCATGAAAATGGGACTATGATAAAAGTACAAAAATGTGACTAGGTAAACGGCCTACTTACTGATTTAGTCGCCTTTGGTTTCTGCATTGCTCTCTTGGCTTTAGCAGCAGCACCATGGGCTTGGTGGATTAACTCTGAAATACACCATAAAGACATGACTGCCTGTGTCAATAGTACATGAAATAGCTACACAATTTTATAGATTCTTAATAAAATATATATCCTTTTATTTATGCCTCATAATACAACTTCTGTGACAAAGGAGAACATTCCAACTTTACCAAATAAGGAACAGGATTTATTTTAATGTGGCTTGGTAATTCTCTTGCTGAGTGTTCCCAAATAGCAAGCATATTGTTCTCCTGTCAAAAGTTATGACCTTATTATCCCTGAGAAAATCTGGCAGACACAAAATTAAAGAAATATGGGAGTGGGTAAAATTTATAGATCTTTTTACAGATTTTTAACATTAATAATAACAAAAAACTTAACACTTAATCATTTAAAAGTTTCACAACTGATGCTCATGCCTCAAATTTCCATAACTTTTGCTGGGTCCTTCCATCCATGTACTCACATCCTCGATCATTTTACACTGATGATGTCACCAAGTTGAAAGTAGTTTTCAAGTTGATCAAAAATATAAAAAAAACCATAGCACTATAGCACTCAAAACACCCACCAAATTCCTCCTCTGACCTGCTCCTGTGTAGATATATCCACAGCTTCCTGTTGACGTCATATTTCACACAGGGGTCCTTCTCATAGTGCAGTCTGTCCAGGGCTCCACTGACCACTGTATTCACCTGGAAGACACTCACTCATAGGTTACCAGATCAACAATTCGAGTCTCATACTCATTCACACTGCTGACATTTTGTCTGTTTCACAGACTTCATCGGGAAAATAAATGCCATTGCCAGTATCCAATGTGACAATAAATTTTCAGTTTTTATTTGATTAAGAGAGCAGCTGAATGAATCAAATACTTTGCCCATACGTTATGTTATAGACAATTTGAATGTGCCTGAAACAGACTATTATCCAAGCAGAGTGGATGCATTAGTCTCAAGTCTATTTCAACTATGATCTTTGGATGCTAACAGAAAGAAGTACTATTATTCATAAAGGTCTTATTCCTTTTATTAATTGCAGTAATAACAATTATGTATTTAATACAGCACTGGGAATTAAAACAAATTTCATGATAAATCTTGTGATTAAACGACCCAGGGATTCTTCCATTGCATATCAAAAGATCGATAAATTGACTAAAATGATGTGCTGCTGTATTGAAGCTCTTCTTTCTTTACCTGTGCATCAGAGACCCCTGGTGAGAGAAACTGAGAATCTTTGAGGAGCTCACATATGTCTGCCCTGGTTCCTTCTCCGTTGGGCAGTCTCGCTGCTGAGTCTCGCACTATTAAGGAAAGAGACAGGGATATAAAACTGCTGTTTATGAAAACTACTTGATCAATTTATTGTAACAAAGACAAAATGTTTGAAGCCAGGATTAGTGTCTTTAACACTATGATAAATATTGTCAATTCATTTCTGGATTATCTGTTGTGTAAAACATACGGCTAGATGACAAGCTCAAGGAAATTTTAATCCATGTATCACTGACTGTCCAGGAAGACAATAATGCCAACAGGTCCTTTCACTTACCCAATGTTAAAATAGTCACATAAGCAGGCCTCTCATTTACTAGGAGGTTGTGTTCTCTGGCTTTGTTCATAGGACTCTCCTTATTGTAGACCCCCTTTACAGGCCCCACTGTGGACTCATAGCCATGCAGCTTGTATGTAAAGGCTTTATGGGGGCTGGAAAACCTTTCCAACTCCTAGAAATAAATGCAGTCAGTTGATTTTTATCTCACATTTTTAAAGTCCATAACCTTGTCTAAGAATAGAGTGTTCATGTCAGCAAATGCTTCCGCCATGAGAAGAAACATAAATTGCTGCAACTAATACAAAATGTCAGAAATCATAGTCAGAGATATATTTGCTCCATGGATAATCCACAAAATATGTATGTTTTTAAATTTCTTAAATGCATATTTAACTGCAGCAAACATATACCTGTGCCCTGAACACAACCTTCTCCATGTCTGTGGTTGGCCTCACCACAAAATCAGTTTTCCTGAAAGAAAATAAGAAAAGCCTCAGAAAAGCACATTTTTTGTTTAGCACATTCCCTTTAATAGTCTACAACAAGGTTATACAGTATCTTATAGTAAACAACAGTGTGCATAATAGCATGATAATAATTTTGTTGCTGCACAACTGGCAGGAATTATGGTGAAATATAAATTATTTTCTCTTAAATCACTTCAGGGGTCCAATAACTTGTATGTAACAGTCTGAAAAAAAATGCATCACCTTGGCAAACCAAAATAACTGAAGAAAAAACTTTTATAAAATTTAAACACATTTGCCTTTCTGCAGATGTCATATAATTGTTTTCTCCATTTTTTAAAGTGTTCTTCTTAAAATCAGACAACATATCATAATATATTGTGCCTGATGAAGTATGCAGTTTATATTTAGAAGAATCTCAAATCTTGTAAACTTACACTCTGGCAGGTGGCACCTCATCATTGGCATCACCAGACTCCAGAATACTTTGCTTTCTCTGCTCAAGCCAATGAGTGCACAGCATTGTCAAATATGCATCATTATCATGACCTTGACCTATCCACTTCCAGATCTGGGCACGTTCTTTGAAGTCAACCAATGGAATGAACTTTTCTAATGTTAGACCTGAATGACCAATTTAAATCAAACTCATCAGACTGCATTTTTATGCATGAGGACAGCGATATTAACTCATGATAAAATTTTATGACAACTCATTTTATCTCATTGTTTACAAATTTTAAAAGTATTGGCAATTAAAGATCTTCAATTAAATATCTTTACAAAATGTGTGTGATTCACACTGTGTGGGACAGTATTATTAACCTGAAATGGTTAACATGAATATTTAATAAGACTGACTTGAAGTAAAGCTGGGTAAAAATTAACCCCTATTAGACTCAAACTTACCCAAGATATCTCCTGAGAGAAACTTGAGAGCAGACGACACCAGCTCCACCCAGTTCTTCTCCATGGAAACCCAAACATTGAGTTTACTACTGGGAGAATTCTGCCACTCCAACACTTGCTGCTCCAGCTGCAATTAAAGCACAGAAAAAGAGCATTACTGTGACTATAAAAGAATAAAAGTAAAAATGAATAAGGATATATAGTAACCTTAGTATATTCTCCCCAGAACTTATATATTTGAGACTCTTGGTACAAAATCTTCGAGAAAATGTTTTAGGGTAAACATGCCTTTTTCTGTTTCAGTATTTTTTCAGTCACCAGAGGAGGTATCAATACAGTGCTCATACTTTTTCATCTATAGGGAAATAAATAGAGGGACCTGTGTTACTTTAAAACAGACTCCATTAGTAGGATGAACAACATGAATTACCTTAGTAGTTGTAACTTTACTTTCTGAACTCTCAGAAATAAAGTCTCTTAACAGGCTGAAGAAACTGGCATAAACACCAAAGTTTCTTTTCACAACTGGTCTGGAAAAAATAATTTGAAATTGATGAAAAAGGTTAAAATATCATCTGAAATTAACTACATTTTTGTCGTGTTATTAGATTAATATTTTACTTATCGCTACTCATTTTAACACTACTTGAAGCATTGGCACATGTGCATCCTATTTTCAGGGACTTAAAGAACAATCAAGAAATTCTCCTTACAAATATTTCCTGTTCATAGTGATCATGTATACCATCATTCAATGTATCCATCACAATTCAAAAATTTACACCACTCACTGTTTCAAAACTGATTCAGTAAGTTATTATTATTTATAGCATCTCATCACTTACTGTGCGTATGGATGTCCAAATGCTGGTCCCATGTCACTACTGAAGTCATACTCATCTGTCTCCTTCACACCAGCACCACCTGGAGGCATTTGTTGGCCAAGAGGAGCCTCTCCTGGCTTTGGAATCTTCAGCTTGAGGCGTTTCTTTTTCCTCTCCTTGTCGTCTGCCCGTGGTTTTCTTGGGACTGCCATCTTCATTTGTACTGCTGGACCTTATAAATTGTTATATTAATGTTAATTCCATTTAAAAATCAATTTCTACAGAAGCTGTTAAAACAAATAGTATTTTTCTTCAGCTATTAAGAATTATTATGATCAAATTCTAAGACTGCTATTAAATCAATTCAAAATGAAAATTAAAAATGATATGTCAAATACATTTATGGTAAACAAGTTATAATAGTTTCTCTTTTCTTATTTCAATATATCTGTGACTATACAGCTTTACAAGCATAAAATGTTGTTTTGCTTGTCAGAAACTGTGAGCACTGTTAATAGGTTGGGACGATTTTAGTGGAAAATGACAAGTCTGGCCACTCGGAAGCCTAAAAGGTTTTCAGGCAGTGTGTGAGAAGAATAGTGGTTGCACTTAGGGATCTATTAGCATTATTCAACTGAAAATGCATAAAACAGATATTTGCTACAGATACATGCTACATATCAGCCTTGTTAGTACTCACCTTGTTCAGCGGTCAGAGCAGCCTCGTGTAACTTGAGCAGTCTCTTGTTATTGGGTTGTGTTCTCACTATTATGTCTTGTAGTGTTATGCCTCTTGTGTCCAAGTCAGGAGAGTCCTACCATAGGAGAAAGTAGTGAAGTTATTACACATTTTACATCAGTGTTAAAGGTTTTTTATTTCATTGTTTCTTTTGGTAGAATTATTTTTTATAGAAAAATACAACCTGTCTATCTTAAATTGGACTTGAAAATTGAAGTATGAACAATATGTTATATGTTTTAAGTAAACCATACTATTGATTTCACAACTGCATAACTCTTTTTTTCTCTTACTGATAAATAGCATAGCTTACAGACCTCATTTTCAAGCCTCCTCTTCCTGTGTTTTCTCACCAAAGCTTTGAGATCTTCATCATCCACTGTGATAGGACTTGTACTTCTCTCCACTCCTAGGAAACCAATTTAAAAAATATAGTCAACACACTGTTGGCACTGTTTCAAAATATCAAGAACATGACAGTGACTCTGGAGTAAATTTACATATTGAATCCTGCTGGCACACTTGTGCATTAAATGCATAATTATCAGAGAGGGGCAATAAAATAACAAAAATATAGAAAAAATATATATCAGCAGCATCTTTCAATGGTTTAAGTGATAAAGTGGATAAAATGTCAAATATTTTATATATAGTGTACAGATAACTGGTAAGAAACCAGAAAAAAAACTTTTTTGTTCCTCACCTTTCCCTGGTTTGGGTGACAGAGTGGATATAACCCCAGAAGTCTGCTGCTGTGTGTCCTGTTGTTTGGAAGGACTCAGCAGTTGTCTCCTCATGTGGATACCAGGTACAGTGATGGCATCCTCTTCTTCTGACGAGGCATCAGCATTGCATTCCTCTTGTACTGACTTCAGTATACTAAACATATTGAAAAAGGTATATTAGCCTATTTTCACTCATCCTGGAAATGTTATTTAAATTTGTTCATTATTTATGAGTCATCAGTTTACACTTCTCTTTTCTGACTTCAGTATGCTAAACATATTTAAATTAAAAAGGTACATTAGCCTATTTTCACACATCCTTGATATATTATCGATATTTGTTCATTATTTATGAGTCATCAGCTTACAATTCTCTTATACTGACTTCTGTATGCTAAATATATTTAAATTGGTATATTAGTATTTTTTTACCTCTGATATTTCTTCCTCATCCTATAATTCATGCTCTTTTCTTTGGGAGGAACAGAAACTCTAGGCAGCGGCTTCAACTTCTCATCAGGAGTCAAGCTTCCGAGCTGCTCTAAAACTCTCTGCAATAAGATATCAGAAAAACAATAATCCATTTCGCAATTCATTAACAATATTTATGAAAATTACCATGAATAGTGTGTGAGTGTGAAACTGTAATCTCTGAACTCATCATATATCAGCGACAGCAAATGTTGGTAGTGTCAACTTAAACCCCCTTTACACTAGATGACATCCTTTTGGTGTCCTTCTTGTGACAATAAGACTGGCCAGGTTGGACGCTCAAAGAATACATGGGCTAACAGATCTGCAGATCATATACAGCTAACCCACCTGAGAGCTTGCAGCATAATCCCCCAATAAATACTGAATATATCCCCTGCGGGGATTAGGAAGTTAGATTTCAAGTGAATTGGCCATATTTGATCCACAGATCTGTTAGTCCATGGATCAACTTCTGTTGTGAATGTGGCCTTAATCAAATAAAAATTGGCCTTTCTGAGTGACCACCCAGCTGACCAACCTGTCTGGACACCAGGATGTCCTTCAGCAGCTTGGTGTAATACTCCTGCTGTTGGTAGATGTATTCTTTGTACTTGGCCTTCTTAAACAGGGTCCTGTATTTGGCAATGTCCGGGGAGAACAAGCCAGCTGAAAAATAGTGAATATTTAAAATAGTTGGGAATTTATCAAATCATTATATGTTTGCATATGCTATTTGTAATGAATTAGTTGAGCTGATGTAAATATTATAAAAATACTCCATTAATTTTTTCATGGAAGACTAATTTGAATCACAGTATATTGTTTTTCTGAAATAAAAAGCTTTTTTTCAGTTATCAATTTTTTTATTAATCAACATGGTGAATACACATTACCTACCTTTAAGGTCAGCTTGAAACTTCTGAATAGGGTTTCCAAACTTGAAATTTTCTCTGTGAAAGAGTTTTCTGCAATGGAGAATATTTGAATTTGAATCTGAGATTTTAGCAACATACAATCAAGTTTACATAGTATGAAATATTGTATGACATGAGATTAAGGTTAGTTGATTATTTACCTTTGCCTGGGAAGTAATGCTTTGACCTTTAAGTTTGTTGATTTGCTTTTTAACAGCCTAAATGAAAAAGCTATGGACAAATTTTGTTAAAAATTTCAGGATAGGTCAAAAATGGACCAGTCTAGAATCAACCAGGTTTTGGCTGTAACCAATAAATTAATTAATTTTAGTACTAAATCTGAGTTTCCTTGGCAGAGCTCTGTGCTCTATAGTATTTCTTTAGGCAAAACTAGAAACATAATTTGGCACTTCCTATTAATTCAGTAATGCCACTAAGAATATCACTTAAAATTGAATTCATTTTGTTTCCTACCTTAATGTGGACTGTTTTTCTTTCATATCATCTGTACCAAAACTGGGGAGAAATTTCTACAAAGAAAAAAATTGTTAAAGTTTAAACTAATTCGAGATAAAAAAACTAATAATGATACATCATTGTAAATTATTAAACAAACAAAAATTATGATATATTAAAAAGATGTTATCAAGAAAATGATTGAAGTTTGTTGTAACTGAACAAAAATTAGTTTTAGCTTGGCAATTAATTGCAAAAAAGTTGTTAAAGATTACTATTAGAGCAACAATACCATTAAATGTCTCCTCTGCATTTCTGACAGTCCCTGCCACATTTTCACACTGAACACTTGGTTGAATACTTCCTTCTGGAATCATAACAATACAATTTTATGTTGGTTGACATAAAATTTAAAATACTGGTGCCAGAACAAAAATCCCTAAGAGTTGCAATGAACTATAAGTTTTATGTTGCAGAATCTTGCATGTTATGAATTTAATACTGTTGATATGATAGTAATAAAACCAATCTAAAGAGGATGAAATAAAAGGATGAAATAAAATTCCAAACTATTTTAATATGAAATCTTTGCTAATGACTCTCATCCAGAAAATAATCTAGGGATGACAAGAATAGAGACAAGGCAATGTAGTGGAGGCTGCGCTGACAAGGCATGTTATATGGAGGAAAGAAACGTAATATTATGGGAGACAAAGAATGCTGCCAATGAAACCACCAGGAAAGAAAAAACAAGGGAGGCCATGGAAAAGATTTATGGATGGAATCAAGGAGGATATGAAGGAGTTTGAATTCGGCCTGTGTGGGTGGAGAAAGAACATCTGCTGTGGCAAACCCTTAGGAGTGGCAGGCCCGAAACAAAAAGAAAAAGAATATAAAGTATTTGGCCAGATATAACAGTTACCTTCTGGATCATATCCACGGGCAGGTCCAACTCCATTCTGTTGAAGACACAAGCCTCCATTCTGATAGCAACATGTTCCTCTGTGTATGACTCCTCTTCTGAATCTAGGTCAAGGTCACCTTCATCAATGTCATCATCTGCTTCCATGGTAATGTCACCATCAACATCTTCCTCCTGCAAAATATTTGCATCATCTTAAGCTATATTATCATTCAGTAATTTCATTGTTTAAGAAATGCTACAAAAAGATGCATGCGAGAGAATATGAATATCAAGTTAGAATTATTCTATCCTCAATCATGCTTTATAGCGAAATTACACATAAAAGATATAATGCAAGATAACAGTTCTGCAATACAAAACTGGTCTTATCAGGATGAGACAGACAAATACTGGATTTTTTTAATGGGTGGGAGATGTCTGCCTAAGAGGCAACCTTGTCTATAAAACAAATCTATGGGAAAATTATTCAAAAAACAAGTGTCTCATCTCCCTCAACCTTGCAATGGCCAGACCACGACACACAATTCTCTTCATACTGCCATAAGCCCTACACTAGCAACCAGACATGTTACCTGTGGCATCTCTTCTCCATCCTCTTCCTCTTCTTCTTCCTCCTCTCCTTCTTCCTCCTCTGTCACATCTTGTGTCTGATCCTCATCTTCTTCATCTGGGAGTTGGGTTTCTTCCTCATCTTCCTCATTTTCTTCTTCTTCCTCCTCCTCTTCCTCGCCTTCCTCTTCTACTCCTTCCTCATCCTCTTCTGCATCCTCATCTTCTTCCTGAGGGGTGTCTATATCAATCTCTTCTTCATCTGACATTGCACCCTCTAAAATGGGAGTAAAAAACTATATTT